TCGGAGCATTGCGATTCCTAGACCAGATCGCCCACCTGCTCTAGGATCGCAAACAAGAAAGCATAGCCAAAGTTTACACTATTTCACCAATTTACACTATCGCCCACTGGTGGATGATACTGCCTACGTTGATCTAAGCAAGCTGAACTCTCAGCAATAAAATCATCTTAGCAAGCTGCTAATCTTCAAGGCAAATGAACCATATTCTGATTAGAAGTTATCATTGAACATTCAAGGCATAATTATCACTGGACTTCGTGTTTGGTAAACAGATTAGAATTTTATGAAGCAATGCGAAATGAGTAATTAAACGGTAAAAACAATAAAAACAGAGGTAAACCAACCATCCATTACAACTCGGAACTCCGTAGTGGTAACCCGTTGAAACATCCTGACAAACCAAACATAAATCTTTAGAGGTTGATGATGGCAATTGCTCGCAAAGTTCTAATGATGATGATGTTTCTACAGTATTCACCATCATGAAAGAATTATTGCAACGTGACTATGAACGAGAGCAATAAAACGACACTCGCTGCACGTAACAATAAACTCCAAATGAACTGTTAGATTACCGATGGAACACTCTAATGCTCAATATCAGTTATTGCGAAGAATTTAACAATAGTAGTGAAAATGATAACGCATTTGAGCATAATGAAATGCTATCATGCATCGACGGCTATCAATATAGTTTGAGTGTTGTTTGATTGATTAACACTGGAAAGTGCATTTTTTTTTGATTTAATTCGTCACTTTTCTTTATCAGTTCAGTTGTTCTTCAGTCCTTCATTGTGCGATTTTTTTTGAACACATTCAAATGGGTGTTTTTAGTTTGATCAAGAATTGATTATTATTATTATCAATTGTGATGAACAATGTGTTCCTTATTCAAGTTTTATTTTGCTTATCTTTATACTCTTATTTTTATACTCATGAAATTTTAATCATTATCTGACTCTTTTAATTCATTGATTTGATCATAATTATTATCAATTTGTCGTCGAAATAAGCTGCATTTCTTGTATAACCATTTTTCAAGGTTGTTGAGCTGAATAAAGAAACTTTTTGAATTCAAAACTGAGTTTTCAGTTGTAAATGGCGACGTTTTCAGTAGTAAATGGCCCACTTATCATGTTCAACGAAGCACATATCATAGACGATAATGTTGAACCAATTATTATGAAGTCAGGATGTGATAAAAGTTCGCAGTGTATGCTCGTAGCTGCTAGTGTTCATGAGCATATTTTACTATGAGTAAATCGCCTTTAAACAAAAAATGGCTCAGTCCCGAATGTTTGATGTAGAATGGATAAATTCACCAAATAAAAAACGATATGTGTGAACTGTAGTAGTCAAATGGGGGAATGTTATCGAGTAAATTATTTCAAACCACGTTTCTGAGGTCATCTAGTTTCTGGATCAATTACGTTCCCTTCCGTAACGATCAAAGTCCAAATGGATGGAAACATGAACTATATTCGTAGTTTTGCGTTGGATTCAAATGCAATTTTTTGCTATTCTAGCTATTTTCAGATGTTTCACGGACAATTTTACATTCACTTTTTTTATGACTGACGATATCACCTAAAAATGATGAATGATATTCATTTAATCTTCGATTGTGACAGCTGATGTTTATTCAATTGTTCAGCAATTAGAACTCATTATGAGCTTATTGTCACCAATGTCACATTCTCCTTCCTTGACATCCTTCATTCCCTGCTACTAACGACATGATATCTGCCCTCCATCTTCGTCAAATTTTAATTTTGCTTACTGATTCGGCGATCATAGAGGTGTACGCTCGTTCTTCTATGTTGCCG